TTCTTGAATATGATGGAATACTAATAATTATCATAAACATTTGATGATGTGAAAAAATATAACATATTTATTGTTCAATGAACAAAACATTAGAAAACAATTTCTATACATTCCATTTTCTATAAAGTGTGTGTGTGTACAGAAGAATAAGTAGAAGAATGTTGTCAACATGTCAACAGTGGTCATTACTGCTGGGTGGGAAGGGGATGGGGGATTTTTATTTTCTTCTTTGTTTCATATTTTTAAAAATTGTCACAATAAAAAGGAATTACTTTTTGAACCAGAAAAAAGGAATAAAAATGGAGAAAAGTTTTAACCTTCAAAAAGATTCCCCAGCAAGGAAAACAGATGTTCCAATATAATACCCAGCAATCATGTTATTTAGCCGTGTATTAGTATTTGTGAAGGAACTGAAATCAGCAGTGCAGTGCAGAGAGGGTGCTGTCTTCAAAATTCTGGTTTCTAGGAAACGGGGTACACTAGGTACCATCTGTTTCTGATTTAGAGCATTGGAGGTGCAAGATCATGAGCTGTATCTTTGTTACTCTCATAACAAATTGTTTAAAGTTAAAAAAAAAAGTAAAGAGCAAAACCAAATGCACAGGATGCCAGAGTGAATGGTATTATTGTGTCATTTGCTTTTTCTTCCCAGGGGCTTTGCATTTTAAAAACACATGTTGTGGTTTTTCTATGATTATCTTTCCACTTCCTGTGTTATATCTCCTTACTGTAAATATCCTTTTGTATAGAAATGCTTTTTTTCCCTTGCGTCTTGCATGTCTGTCTTTCTTAATATTCACTTTCTCCAGTCTTCTACTGTATATTTTCCCTAATACTAATTGGTATGAGTCCAGTGGTATTTTTATTCTCCAACAAGATTTTTTTAGAACTCTGGTTTCAAATTCTAGTCCCATTTTTTATTAACTGTGTGGTCTGGGGGAAATTGCTTAATTCATCTGAATTTTCCTCTCTGAAAATAAGGACAATATTATGTACCCAACGGGAGTATTGCAAGGATTGAGTTTAATATAAACTACATAGAGGGTCTAGCCTAGGGATCGGCATAAGCATGGCACTTAACCCTTGGTATCTTTTCCTTCCTTCTCTCCTTCTGTGTATCCTCTAATACTATGTCTCAAGTCATCTTTCTAAAACACCAACACTACCGAAGGATCAAGTCTAAACTTAGCAGGCTTTCAGGGTCCTCCTCAAATGAGCCCCAACCCATCTTTGTGGTCTTAGTCCTTCCGGGCACATTTCATATACACATTACTCTCCAACCACACCAAATTACTAACCATTGCCTAAATATATGTTACTGTTTCTTCTCTCCCTGATTTTGCAAGTGCCATTTTCTGTGTCTGCAAGTCTTTCCTGCTCCTATCTGACAAACTTCTTTGCAAAGCCTTCTCTGACAGCTTGAGGCCCCCATGCTTCCCTGTGACCATAGTAATTTGTTCAAACCTTTATGAATATAATTCGTTATTCAAGTGTCTATGTCATTCACTCATGTATTCAACAAATACTTACTCAGTTTCTACCATGTGCCAGGCACTGAGAGTGCAAATTCTGGTAGAATTGTGAGATTCCATAAAGGCAGGGGTCCTGTTCTGTCTGGTGCTTAGCACTGGTGAAAAGCAAGCACTCAGTATTTGTTTGTTGAATGTTGAATAAAATGAGAGCATTTTAAAAAAAATAGTCAAACTTAAAATTATAATGCTACCAAACACTTCCTCAAAGATATAGGACACATTTTCTTTTACATGTGACATATTATTGTGTTTATTAATAATTCCAGGGGGCTCAGAAATATTCCTTTGCTTTGAATGTTCTCCATCTGGAAGAGTTTAATTAAACCAAAGACTACAGATGAGTTGGCCCCATTTATTTCCAGGATGAAATCCTTTTTTTTCCTACAGAGGATTCCTCCAGACAAATATCAAAGGTCAATGTTATTTTTAGTAACAGATAGTTCTTGAAAGTCTTAAAAAATGTTTAAATTTTTAAATTTGGTTAAAAAATACTTTTGAAAATCTCATTTTTAAATTTACCAGGGATCTTTGGTCTACATGAAAGCATTTGTTTTGACTCGAAATGATGCCAAATGACCACACTGGTGAATCAATTTGTAATTAATCTACAAAAGGGAAGTAAGTAAAAACTGCTTTCCCTTTCCTTTTTTTAAAACTTTTTATATTTTTGGTAAGTGTAGGTCCCTGTTGGCGATGATATTCTGTGCAAATTGAAAGCTGACTCAGAGAAAAAGCTATTATTATCCTTCCTTTTTCAGAGTTTAAAGTTTTCATCATTAACATTTAATATTTTTTAGCTTTCATTCTCATCCTTATCCTCTTCCCTTCTCCATTCCCTTCTAATGTGTAGAAACATGTGAGTCCTGTTTTCTTGGATTCATTTGGATCTCCCTTTGTGCACTTCATAGGACAATTATGAAAATTTGTGTGCTGATTACATGCTAGTTTTGTTGCACTGCAGAATGAAAACACTGTAGGCCAGTCAGGATGGCTCATGCTTGTAACCCCAACACTTTGGGAGGCCAAGGCAGGCAGATCACCTGAGGTCAGGAGTTCCAGACCAGCCTGGCCAACATGGTGAAACCCCATCTCTACTAAAAATATAAAAATTAGCTGGGTGTGGTGGTGGGCACCTGTAATCCCAGCTACTTGGGAGGCTGAGGCAGAAGAATCGCTTAAACCCAGGCGGCGGAGGTGTCAGTGAGCTGAGATCAAGTCACTGCACTCCAGCCTGGGAGAAAGAGCAAGACTCTGCCAAAAAACAAAAAATGAAAACACTGTATAACTTTAAATTAACATCAATTAAATAATGTCCACAATAGCTGAGTTTTATTAATGTAAATTTAGTTATTCAGCTAAGCTGAAGTTTTTTTCTCTAGCTGGAAACAATTTATCCTTCTCCTGAGTTATATCATGAGATTAAACTGATGGGCCCTGATAGGAAGAAGCTAAATTAGATTTTAATCAAAGAGATACTATGCAAAACTTGGTAGTGAAGAAAGCAAATCTAATGTCCAATATTCCCATCCTTGCTAGGCAATGTCTTTGCATGTACAACTGACTCAACAGAATTTTCTTAAAAGCTAAAGCACACAGGGTTAGGTTGGAGAGAGAATTTTTAGAGAGTGAAACAGACCACAGAATTTTTAGAGTGAAACTACTCTGTATGATGCTATGATGGTAGATATATGTGGTCAAAACTCACAGAATATTCAACACCAAGAGTGAACCCTAAGGTAAACTATGGGTTTTGGGTAATAATGTGTCAACGTAGGCTCATCAGCTGTAACAAACATACTACTCTGGTATGCGGTGTTCATAGTGGCAGGGCTGGGGGGAAGGGGGTTGGGGGGATTAGGTGCAGCATGGGGACAAGGGAGGAGAACTTTGGAATATGTCTGTACCTTCTGCTCACTTGTGTTGTGAACCTAAAATTGCTCTACAAAAGAAAGTCTATTAAAACAAAATGAGCTGGCTTGGCACAGTGGCTCACATCTGTAAACCCAGGATTTGGGAGGCCAGGGCAGGCGGATCACTTGAGGCCATGAGTTCAAGACCGGCCTGGCCAGTACGGTGAAACCCCACCTCTGAAA